TATTATTATTATTTATTTATTTATTTATTTATTTTTCGAGTATTTAGTAAAGGTGCAAAAAAAAAAAACAATTTCGAGACAATACAAATTTTATACTACTCCTGACGCCTCCTCTCCCTCTTTCTCCTCCCTTCCTCTCCCCGCCCTCCCTTTTTACCTCCCTCCATTAACCGGAATTTTATTTACATTCGTCAAAAAGGAAATTTTTTTTTCATGTTTTTTCCCTTTTCTTTTCTTTCCTTTGAGAAATAAAAATTAATACGAAAAATTAATAAAAATTTTAATTAAAAAAAAAATTTCACCTGTCTTTTCATCCTACTTCTCTCTCTTTCTCCTCCTCCACCGATTCTCCCTCCTCCCCTCCACCACCTCCCCCTCCTTTCATTTAAATTATTTAATGAATTAAAAACAATGTAAACATTCATAAATTATTGTAATTACATATCCCGATGGGATTCGTGTCTCGTAAATCAAATTTTTTTTTTAAATATAAAATAAATCTCAAGTGAGTGAAAAAAAAAAAAAAGAGAAACCACACGGTTTGTACATGCATCAATCTCTCTCTGTCTCTCTCTTTTTGGACAGAGAGAGAGAGAGAGAGAGAGAGAGATGAAAATAAAAATAAAATACCAACCATATGGTTTCTATATATATATATTTAAATGATTCTTTTTTTTCTTCTTCTTATTCTTATGATGAATTAAATGATTTTAATAATAATAATTTCGTGAATAAGTTAATAAATACACATAAGTTTATTCAACGAAACAAAAAGTCTTTCATGTTTGCCAACCAAAAAAAAAAAAAAAAAAACGTTTACGCTCGTCATTTCCGTTTGGTTTTCTCAAACCACCAACGAAATAAAAAAAAAAAAATTGCAAAAAAAACAATTATTTCCGGTTGTCATTTAAATTGATGACAAAAAAAACAAATTATTATTATTATTATTATTATTATTAATTGTTATTTAAATTTATTAAAATTTATTGAATAATTATTATTATTATTACACTCGATCGATTTTAATGTGTGACGAGAGAATTTTTTTTTTGCATAATATATATATATAATACACAAATGAATTATTATTATTATTATTATTATTATTATTATTATTATTATTATTATTATTATTATTATTGTTGTTGTTTCAAAAGTGATTTATAAATAAAGCCCTCCTTTTTTATCTCTCTCTCTCTCTTTTAACATTTTTAAACAAATAAATAAAGAAATATGTTTTGAATAAATGTAAATGATATTCAATTTTTATGAATTACTTTTATTATTATTATTATTACTATTATTATTATTATTATTACTATTATTACTAATCACGAGATTCGTGCACTTGTACGAGTTTTCCATCAATTAGTTCCAGGTTTCGATGCCAACGTTCCCTAAGGAATATATGTTTGATTATCGGTGATGGTGCGCCATTAATAAGATATATACGAGATGATTTTTTATACGGTTTCTTATATATTAAAATCCTTTTGAAATTGCTTTTGAAAATGATTGTGGTGGCATGGCTCCCATGGCTCCCAGTGCTCCCATTATAATCCAAATTATTTACGTTTTGATTCCTCTCCCTTTTTCCCACAGCAGTTTCAATTTCCAAAAAATTTTTTCTTTTTTTTCTTAATTTTATTAGAATTTTGAATTTGAATTGAATTTTGAATTATTTGAACCCTGAGCCAAATTTTTACATATAAAAATAGTATAGAATTTCAGGTACGTGAAGGTTTCAGGTACATAAATCTAAAAAATGAATACAGTTAAGTGAGAAACAAATTAAAACTGAAATAAACAATCTGCGAATCATCATCCATAGTTAAAAATGACACCATAAAAATTTCACACCCAAAAAAGACCTATTCTAACATAAGTTTATTAATTTATTTTTAGTTTTACTTAGAATGAATGGTCAAAAAAAAAAAAAAAATCACATTAACTATTTATAGAAATATAAAATGATAAACGTGAGAATACGCCAACGTATGTAAAAGATAATTTTTTAAAAATTTTTTCCGTGGATTATCACTTACGTTTTCGCAATAGTTAAATTAAAATCATAAAATGAACAGGTCCCCTTTTGTAATCATACGTACCGAGAGTATCTTTTAAAAAATTTTATTATTACTCGCGCTTTCTTTTTTCGTTGCAAACCAAATTTTTATGGATAAATAATTTCGTATAAAAGTAAAACTTAGAAAATTAATTTAAATATATATATATATATATATATATTTATCAATCGTTTTACTCTCGCTTACATGATTTATTATTATTATTATTATTACTACTACTACGTAAAGAAAAAAAATAAATGGACATTAAATAAATAATTTTTTTATTCAAAAAAAAAAAAGAAAAAAATTTTTTTTTTTTTTATGTCATTCGGATGTTGGAAAGCGCCTAAACCAAAGACTATCAAAAGTATCAAATAAAATGAGATTACAGGTGGGATGCTGAGGGAGTTGTCATGGCAACACTGTGAGAGATTTTTGATTTTTTTTTTTTTTTTTTTTCATTTAGGAAAAATGACTCTCATTTTAGCCTTTAATTCTTTACCTCACCCTGTATATACATATACGATGGTTCACGTAAATTTTTTTAATTATTGGTTTTTATTGACTTTTCTATTTTTTTTTTTTTTTTTATAAATTTTCATTTCCGTTTCTCTTTTTCTCTGTCGGATTTTGGTTGCGACAAAAGTAAAATTTTTTTTCCTGTTTTTATTCATTTTGGTTTTATTTCACGTCGTGATATAATTGAATGAAAATCATTTCGTTTCGATAGGGGAGCCCAAAGGAAAGTCAAGTCAAAAGGGGATTAGTAAGAAACAAAATTTTCTTGATTTTCAAAAAAGAAACGAGAAAGAAGAAAAATAATAATAATAATAATAATAATAATAATAAGGAAAAGTAAAATTTTAACTGAATCCTCCTCCCCACCCCCCGTTTTTCTGTAGAGATTTGACGTCAATCAAAAAGACAACATTCGGATAAGGTAGATTGTTATTATTATTTCGTGTCGTCGTTTAAAAGTCTTCTTATCCTTTATTCTGCCATTTAATCCTTTGAGGTTTGATAATTTTGTTATTTTTCATCTTGTTCAAACATGTTTTTCATTTATGTTAAAATTAATTTTTAATTACCTTTAATCTTACCTTTGAAATAAAAAAAAAGGAAGAAAAGTGAAATCTGTTGCGGGGAAGTGCTAGTCGAAAAGAAAAAATCGATTTTGTCAACAGGAATAAAATTTTAATTTTTTTTTTGGTTTTGATTCAGGTCATGAATTTCGATCACCTAGAATCATCGAACATCCAACGGATGCAACTGTTGCACGTCAGGTACCAGTTATGCTCAATTGTAAAGCAGAAGGATATCCGGAACCTACAATAGAATGGTTTAAAGATGGCGAATTGGTTAAATCGACAAAATCAAGCGGTGCTTTTCTCTCTATGGGTTCCCTATTTTTTTTCAAAGGATTGCACAGGAGAAAGGATAGCACGGACGAAGGAGTTTATTGGTGCATAGCTAAAAATTCAGCTGGTGTCGCAAAAAGTAGAAATGCGACGCTTCATTTAGCCGGTGAGTTTTTTCTAATAAATTTTCTTCTTTTTTTAAATCGAGTGTCCTCCATGCCGTCAAAATTTTACAAAACAAACAAATTCTCTCTTAAACTTAGACAGACAAGGAATGTTGTTTGTTGGTATTGCCATCGATGAAAGAGAATGTGCCACTTTTATTTACTTTACTTTACTCCTACCCCACTTCTATCTACACTTTTACACAAACATTTAATTTCATCGTTTTCAATTTTTCTTATTGCAATAATATTTATTTTTTGACCTCTTCCCTCTCTCTCTCTTCCACCCCCCCCCCGTAAAAAATAAATAAATAAATATATGTAAATGTAATTTTTTTTTTTTTTAAATAAATTTTATAGAGTCGAGTGTAGTAAATATTTTGTTTATTAAAAAAAAAAAAAAAAAAAAAAACTTAAAAGTCAGCTGTACAAACAACAAAAAAGTCTCAAACTCATAAGAAAAAAAAAATTATTTATTTATTTATTTATCAAGTTTGTTTTTCTAATTTTTTTTTTTTTTTGAAACTTTAATTTATTTAAACACATTAAGAAAGAAAAAAAAGGTGACGTTTTCTATTGACACGTTTTTTTTTTTTTTATCTACAGAATTTTCGTATGTTTTGAATTCTCGAGTATATTTTCGCGCGTTTTTTTTTAAATATTTTTAGTTATAAATAAAAAAATTTACGATGATAATAATTAAAGTAAATATTCAAATTATTTTTTTTCTTTTTACAAAGTTTTGGCGGTTTGTTTTTCTTCAAACAAACAAACAAACAAGCAAAAAAAAAGAAAACGTTTTTTTTTGTGGAAAAAATTTATAAATCATTTAAATTTAAGTTTAAGTTTTTTCCTCCTTTTTCGTGTGTTGAGAAATTTACCAAAGAAAAAAAAAAATTTCTTTAATAATTATTCACGTGAAAATAATTT